TCCCATTCTTGACCAATTTACCAGCCACGATGAGGAGGTCCAACGTGGTGTTGGCCGACCGAATGGCTTTGAACGAGTCCTCCAGCGGAGTCAGGCCGAGCGACGATAGCGTAGCCGTGTCCAAACAGGAGTTGTAAAACTCACCAAGCTTGGTCGTGTTGTCAGAGAAAATCTTCCTCAATACGGCTTGGTTTTGGATGTTGATCTCGTAGAACGACGTATCGATTTTGTGTCTGTCCGGGGGTATCACAGCATTCTTGTGCCATGTGCCACACGCATACCTGGTAAAAGTCGTCGCAGGGGTTGATGGAGTAGTCGATGAGCTTGGTCACAGACTCGGGGAGTTCCGTGACGGAGCCAGCCGTAGCGGAAGCGGCCAACACGCTGAGGGAGATGAGGACTTTGACCATCGTTGAGCGAAACGGAAAATGAAGTTGGCCAAAACTGTCAACCATTGAAGACAACCAACCTACCGGGAATATCATTGACCAAGGTGCATCCATCAGTCCATCTCGATGAGACATTGAAGTTGGCATGTGGAATAGGAGTACTCTATGACTACTCTATGAATAATTCCCTCATTAAAACAGTTCCACTATTGTTTTGCCCGAAATACTGTTTCAATGAGGAAATCATTACATCCGGATAAACCTTTACAGTTAATAGCCCTACCCCCGGTGAGTACATCATACGATGCTAAATCTCTGGGGTTAACTGCATCGCTAACCACTGAGATGCACTTAACCCCTAGTAAGTGGTGACGTAGTCTGATCATACAAAGTTCCATATAAACCTCAATAGAAACAGTATTTCGGGTCAAAACAACAGTGGAACTGTTTAATGAGGGAATTGTACGTACTCTATTCCCCATGCCGACTTCAACCGACTTCACGGACAGATTGCATATAGCTTTTGCTTTGGGCGCAGTCTCCTCCTGGGGATCGGGTACACGTCCTTGGCTGTCAAGTGGTTCAGCCGCCGAAAATCGACACAAAACCGCACCTTCCCGTCACGTTTCTTGACCAGTACTATGGGGAAACCCCATGGTCCATCGCCAGGTTCGATAACCCCCATCTTTAACATGGTTCGAATCTCCTCTTTGACCAATGCGTCCTGGCTAGGGGACCATCGATTCCGGGATTCCTTGATGGGACGCGCATCCCCCGTGTCGATGGAGTGGCTAACGTCTAGCGTCGTCGCCGGTAGCATGTCTGGATGGCTCGGCACCACCTTGGGGAACGAGCGTAGCACCCGTAGGAGTAGCTGTTGATGGTCCCCGCTTAAATGGCCCAACGCCAGATTCTCCTCGCCTGGCAACTCGGCACACGGCGTCTCCGCGATTTGGGCCAGCCATGCGATTAGGTCTTCCCTCGTCGTCGTGTCCTCAGGTTGGTCCAGCACTTGTAACTCGTCGCTCAGTGGGGTCCAACTGCCCACTTCCTCTTGAGCTAAGAGGTGCCCCTTATCTTCAGTACCGTTCAGCACAGGGACGAGAATATTGCCATTCGTTACGGTGGCTACCGTGGCTGCCAGGAGACACCGGTTCGTTCGATTCGTCCGGTCGGGGACGAACTGTACCTCCGTGCCATCGGGTGCATCAATGGCGACTTGCATCCGGCTTCCGCTCATGGCACTAATGCCGTGGGTCTGCACCACGGTCGCCCGCCTCGCGTGCACTTGCGTCGTAGCTGCAGCTTGGAGTCCAAACGGCACTTCTAGTCCCCATTTCGGGAAGTTCAGCGTTCGGGTGTCATACGCTACTTGACATCCGTGATGGTCAAAGAAAGGGTTTCCGAGCAGCAGATCTTCTGAAAGCCCATCCACCACCAATGGTTCGACGATTACTTGGCGTCCCTCAATAGTCCATTCGAGGCGCACTCGCCCCTTAACGTGCAGGAGTCCCCCCGAGGCGCCCTCGAGCCAGCGATTCGACGTGTCCTCGATCCATGTGCCTAAGTGCGCCAGTCGTCCAGCCAAGATAGACTCTTCCGCCCCCGTGTCCAACCGTACGGCGCATGGGTGCCCTTCAATTTCCACCCCCCAAGTGGGTAGTCGCTGGCCCCCTACGAGTCGGATACTCAGTTGGTTCTTGCGTTGTCGCTCCTCGGTCTCCGCCTGCATTCGTCGTCGTCGCTCTTCTTTCTCCCTTCGGTGCCATTCTCTCTTTCTTCGCTTGTTAGCGGTCTTCCTCCCTTCTGGTGGTTTCCCTTTCTGTCCACTGCAATACTCCGCATCCACACATGTCTCCCGCCGCCAGTCTTGCTCACTCATGTCGTCCTCTTCGTCCTCCTCACATTCTTTCAGCTCCCCCGTCTTCAGAGCGCCCCTCGCTACAGGCCGCCCCTCTATTCTTTTCCCGCCGCCCATCCGGTTGCTGCCTTTGCGACCTTCTTCTTCTTCAACTCCTCCAGGCCTTTCTCAATCGCGCCGGGGACTTCGGGCAGCGTGCATTCGGTCGCGACGTGGCCCAGGGTACCACAGTTCCAACACGTTTGACGGTCCGTGCGGTACCGTTTTGCCGGTTTCTCGCTGTCCGGGCCTTCTTTCGTCCAGCGCCGCTTGGTTGGAGACGCTATCATCCGGCACATGACTGTCATAGTCTCTGTCAATTTCTTGTCCATGGTCTCGATCATCTTCAAATCTTTGGCTGACAACGCTTCGTCTTCCTGGACGGCATTGTCACCTTTGACGTTGATTGGAAAAGCTCGAGTGGTCTTCGCGGTTGTGCCTCCCCCACTGGCACCGTACAGCAGCTCCAGCAATTGCACCCCCTCCAGCATTGTCTTGACCTTACCCATGTGTAGGTCTTTGGCTGCCGCTGGTTCCACTCCTTTCGTAAAGCAGGCGACCAACCATGCCTCGGGAACAGTAATACCCTCTGCCATCGCGTATAGGACTTCCGCATATTCCTGCCACGTTTCATTCGCTCGTTTGGCCCTTGAAATCATGTCGGCCTTGATCGTGTCGCTTGTCCGCATCGGGTGCAATCCAAAAGCGCCCACCATCCGCTCCTTCAGCATGGTGTACGTGCGGTCGTCCTCTTTCACTCCTTTGAGTGCGTGCGAGTACCACTTAGCCGCTCTGCCTTTAAGGCGGTCGGCGATCAGCACGTGCTGGAGGTGTTCCGGCCAGGCTATTCCTTTCATGCGGCCATCGGCCGCGATGTACCGTTCCATGCTTTCGAGCCACTCCTCAACACACCCTCGCGTGTCCGGGTCGAAGTCACCCCCACCCACGTCTCGGTATTTGAGGAATCGAAGTTTTGGGTCGTAACCGCCGTCTCCATGACCGCCTGGTGCTCCACTCTGTGAGGCTTGTTCTTGGCTGGGATCGATGCTCGCCATGTTGCTACTTCCTCCTGCGTGGGTTTTTGCTTTGTGACCCTTGGCTTCTTGACTCTTCACCTTCCGTTTCCTATTCCAAATTTAGTTATTATTCCATATCCCACTGGGTTCGCCGCCTCGCCGCTGTTACTCCCCTCGAGTTCCCAACAGTTAGGGAGGCCCCAGTATGACCACCAAGTTAGGATGTGCTGCCCCGGCTGGGGCATGGAGGATTTTTAGGATAGGTGTGGAGTGTAGTGGGGATAATAGGAAGTGTCTATTCTCATCTTTACTCCTACTACTACTTCAACTGCTATTTCTACCTTCCATTCTCGCCATCTTTGTCCGACATCTTAACTGACCCAAACCAGTGCCAATCGTGCTGTTATAAACGTTTTGGAACTCCTGCACCGCGAACTTCCACTCACACAAGATATTACCTTGATTCTTGGTCAAGTCCCGCGACTTGATCTGTACAGCAAGCTAGCAACGACAGTACAGTACAGTACAGTACCTTAGAGCCAGTAGTGCTAACCAACCACTACTACCACAGTCACACCCACCACAGCAATCAATACTGGTCATCCTACGACCACCAGAGCAAGACCAATCACTACTACCACATCCACACCCACCATCACAGCAATCACTGCTCATTCTACGACCACCACAGCCAGACCTACACTACTACCACACCTCCAGTAGTACCAGGCTCTAAGGTATTGTACTGTACTGTCGTTGCTAGCTGGCAGGTTGCAGGCAAAACTTCATTATGTTGTTTATCTGCACAAGTGGTTTAGGGGCACGCATTATATGTAAACACAAGGGGCTCCGGGGTTACAGGGGTACGGGCAAAAGCGTACGAAGCTGGAAATGAAAAGTTGAATGGTAATGTATGCGACATGTGGATAAGTTGAAGTTGTAGATAATTATAGATTCTTGAAATGCTGTTGTAAATTCATTGTCTCTCTTGAAATACGACGAATTTGGCAAGTTCGAAGTTGTCTTTCTCTACGCTGTTGGTTCAGGCGACATGCAACAAGGTGTTGTTGATATACTAGTACATAGTATTGGTTGTTGTTATGAGGAATGGAAGTTTCATGACCAGTTGTGCAGTACTGTATTAGTATGCATTGAGAAATCGCTGACTTGCGTCGCGCCTTTCCCGCATGTACACAAGCACAATCTGCAGAATATATAGATCGTTTTGCGAAACGAAAAATAATTATGGGGTCAAATATTGCGGATTTGGTACAGAATTCCAGATTCCGTCGAATCGAATCTCGCCGACTGAACCTATCAAAAACCTCGCCCATTGGCTGCTCCTCATGCTAGAATATGATTGGCTATTCAGAATCCAGCCTTTCAGAGAACGTGCCGCACTTCAACTCACCCACCATGACACTCCCGCGAAGAACACGAAATCCATGTCCAAGCCCACAACGAGAGCTGGGGGCGCACTCAACGTCGTTGTACGAGCTCACACTTGAGCCGTATGGTCAAAGAGACTGTCGTTCAGGGCAACACGTTCGCTGTAAGGTTTGCAACGTTCGTCTGTGGTGGTGTGTCGTGGAGTGAAATCAATCGTTTTCTCGTCCTTCCCATAGATGACTGCCAAACGAGACTTCTTCATCCCAAGGAAGTAGTTCATAGCCGTAGAGGCAGTGCATCACAGTGTTGGGGATGGCGTGTCGATGGAAGACATACTCAATGGCGCTCAGGATGTCGATGAGCAGCCAGAAGGGCGTGCGTTTGGAAATGGCGCGTAAATGCGAAACTGCCAAACTCACAGACTACAGTGTACCCTGTAACCAATCAAACGCCGTCGCGTGGTTTATGCTCTGAACCTCTCCATATCCGGAATTTCCCAGCAAATCGACAATACCACCAATCAAAACCCCCAAGAAGTAATACTACTCGATGATGGCGTGCAAAAAGGCCATCAACACAATAATGAACTTTGCAACGGTCAATCAAGTTTGCACTTGCTCACAGAACTGAGGATTTAGGAATTGGCGTCGTGTTACAAAACTGCAGCTTTAATGCTTCAACGCGCGATCATTGTGGGTGGTGGCATCGGCGGACTCACCGCCGCTCGAGCCCTCCTTCGTCACGGAATCCAAGTGACGTTGCTGGAGAAAGCGGCAGCATTTCTGCCCACGACGGGGGCTGCGTTTGGGTTTTCGTCGAACGGCCAAATATGCCTGGAATCGCTTGGGCTGGGGGACGCCCTTGAGCCGATTTTGCACCCGTTTCGTCGGTACAAAGTCACCACCAGACACGAAACTCTCTACGACGACAACCACTTCGAGCGCTTTTACGACCAAACGGGGTTCAGCATCTCGGGGGTGCTGCGAGCTGACTTGGTCAGCGTGTTGGCGGATTCTTTGGGGGACAACGTGATTCAGTACAACAGCAAAGTCGTGTCTATCCACCAAACCCCGTCCCAAGTCCAAGTTACATTGGAAGACGGGGCGACAATGTATGCGGATTTCGTCGTCGGGGCGGACGGCATCAACTCCACGGTCGCCCGCGCCATCGTGGAGAACCCCCCCGACGCCCCAGTGTATTGCGGCGATAATGTGTTTTACGGTGTATTGGACCACATTCCACGATACGCCGAGCCAGGAACTCTGCTCCAACACTACGATATGGGCGAATACATCCAGTATCCCGCGGGTCCGTCGCATTTCATTTGGGCCCAATGCTACAAAGCAGACGCCCCGCCTTCCAAGGACGAGTGGACTGGCGGCGCCGACAACACCAGCGTAGCAAGGGCGTTTGCCTCCACGCTGCCCGTCGGCCACCCGCTGCACGCCAGCCTTGCCGCGACCGCCCCCCACCGCCTCCTGCATTTTGGGCTGCACTATCGCAAACCAATGGCCAAGTGGCATCTCGGCCGAGTGGTGCTGCTAGGCGACGCATGCCACGCCACCCTCCCCTACGCAGGCCAGGGAGCCAACCTCGCCATCGAGGATGGCGTCGTGCTGTGCCAGCTCATTGCCCAGCACCGAAGCGACCCGGCCGTGGCCTTTGAAGCATTTCACGAGGCGCGGTTCAACCGGACGAAAAGGGTAGTGGACATGGCGTGGTATATGGGCAAACTCACGCATGTGGACGGCGTCGTGACGGGGCCGCTCCGAAATGCCGTGCTCAAAGCCCTGTTTGCCAGCGGCCTCCTCATGAAAGCCGCCATGGCCGAGATTGTCGACCACTGCCCGGTCCCGATTCCAGCGAAGCAGAGACGCTGAAAATCAAGTGATTCGAAGTAGCTAAGTCATCATCATAGTATTGGATCTCTTGAATGCGTTTGGACTTGAAAGCATAGAGTGTTGTATCTGCGAACAGCTCTGGGAACGGTTATTGTGTGTATTTTTTCAAATAAACTGACCATCATAACTTTAGGATTTGTGTTGAAGGTGCAAGTATACTATATAATACATCGGACAATAAGCTTGCCCTCGGCCCCTCAGCATGAGTTTACATCACGTACATTCGATAACGTTATCAAACAGAATCACGAAATTAGACGAAAGAGTGAAATCTCAACCGATTTCAACCAGATCCCGTTGGAGGGATGTTGGGTATGCCGTCGATTGAAACCTGGGATATAATTGGATATGTAACTAGTATGCAAGTGACGGTTTATTGGAAGCTGATATACACTAGAATACCGGCCAATTACGGTGGTCAATGGCATTTCTGGCAACAGAGCTGGCATTCTGCTTGACCGTGTCTTTAATCTGTCGTATGGATTTCGAAGGAACCAACCCGAAACCCTGTCGAATTACTACTTCCAAGTATGTGCCCGAACCTCACACATGGTTTGGGTGTAACGATCATGTTCCAAATGTCGACCTGGTTAGTACTACGCCGTTGAAATGACGACTGAAATATCCCCCCAATAAGCAGCCAAGTAACACCGTTCCGCTGGTTCGACTTTTTTTCAATGCGCCGTGGTGGGTTCGAAAAACGACTTGGAATATACATCAGTGTTTTATACTGACTTCATTCCGTCAATGCAAAACAAACGTGGGTGCAACTGGTGGGTTCGGTGGGTAGTATACGTATGAATGTATATAGTACAGTAGTAAGGTTAGTTGACCGTTGAACCAGCCCAATCCGTTCTGGGTCGTTCGTTACGCAGAGAATCCTGGAATGCGCAGCTTTGCGGTATTAATTATGTATTGGGTGGCCCGCCATCTTAGTGTTTGTTTCCCAACGTGACCCTTCCCGAGGTTCAACTTGAACGAGAAACCAATGAGTCCCCGTCCCAGATGTAGGTTGTACTTGGCTGATACGTCCAGTGACCGGATCTTTACCCGTCGTACCTGTTGGCAGCCAATGAAAACGCATCAATTTGGAGAAGTCCTGCACCGAAACCGGTCACTGGACGACAAGCTCAAGTTGAACCGTCGCAGGGGCTGATTGTGTAAAATCCGTAACTTACTTTGTGGTTGTTTCATTTTGGAATTCGGTGGCTAAGATGAACATCAACTCGTCCGCGCTGATCTCGCTCACGTTGGACGGTCAAGTGACCCAGATCGCATGGGGTGACCTGGTCGCGCAGGTGACGGCGCACTCGGCCCCGACGGACTCTGTCGACTTGTTCTGGCTCGTGTTTGGCGGCGTGCTGGTGTTCCTCATGATGCTCGGGCTGGCGCTGCTCGAAATCGGATGTGTCGGCGCCAAGAACACCAAGCACATCATGTTCCGTATCCTCGGGGACTTGTGCATCACTGGGCTCACGTACTACTCGGTCGGGTACGGCTTTGCCTTCATGGGCGGCAACGGCTTCATCGGCAGCTCGGGCTTCTTCATGTCTGGCAATGACTTTGTCCAAGCCACGACGGACAAGCTGTTCAGAGGACACCACTACGCAGACTGGTTCTTCCAGTGGGCCGTGGCATCGGTTGCGGTCAACATCTGCTCGGGCGCGATCGCCGAGCGCGTGTCCATAGGCGCGTACTTTAGCTACACATTCGCGTCCAGCTTGTTCATCTTTCCCGTGTGTGCCCATTGGATTTGGTCCGAAACGGGCTGGGCCAGTGCGTTCAACGTGCACAGTCCGATGTTTCGCGTCGGCGCGATGGACTTTGCAGGCACGGGCGCCCTTCACATGTTTGCCGGCACTTCCGCCTTGGTCGGGTGCATCCTTCTCGGGCCTCGCCGCGGACGCTTTGGCGCGAACGCGGTGGCGTTGCCCAAGCAGTCGGTCTTGTTCCAGTTCATGGGGGTGATGCTGCTCTGGTTTGGCTGGTACGGGTTCAACTGCGTGAGCACTCTGAGCTTGGAAGGAACGAAAGCGGACGCGATGGCCAAAGTAGCGGTGAACCTGACCTTGTCTGCATGCACCGGTGGCATCATGACTGTCTTGCTCATGTACTGGAGCCACAAAGTATGGGATATTGAAGCCGGCAACAACGGCATCTTAGCTGGATGTGTAGCGGTCACTGGCTGCTGCCCAGTGATCGAGCCAGCGGTGGCAGTAGCCCTCGGCGCCGTCGGCTCCCTCGTCTACGTCGGAGTGGCGAAACTCGTCGCCAAGCTGGAAATCGACGACGCTGTGGACGCCGTGCCCGTGCACTTAGGCTGTGGCGTACTTGGCACCATCGCTCCTGGCTTTGTGGCGTCTCCCACTGGCGTCAAGATGTTCTACGGATCGGAATCTTGCGGGGTTTTCTACGGCTGCGACACTGGTGGCAACCAACTCGCCGCCCAAGTCGTGTATGCTGTAGCTGTGTTTGCGTTTGTATCTGCGACAGTGGCCACGGTGTTCCTGGCCGTGCGCCACTTTGGGACGCTGCGGGTATCGGACGAGGCTGAACGCATGGGCCTAGATGGGTATGAACATGGAGGGTCGGCGTACGATTCCCAAGCGGATGACGCCAACTCGATCACGAAAAGCGGAGATGACGATGGATTCTTGCACGTCAAATCGCCCGTGGAAGTGTAGGATGTAGTAGTAGTAGTACTATGTAGATCGAGTCATATTTTAACTTACTATTAGTAAGGGTTTCGGTTGGACCACATATGGACAAGTGCAGTTTGCTCTGGATACTCGGATCGTAAGCTTAGTACTTCTAGTAGTATAGTGCAAGGTACTGTTGTGTAGAATACTTTCTGTAACCGGAAAAGGTTTTCCATGGTTTCAAATATAGCCAGCACGACGAACGTTCGAGTTTGAAGCCAGTTGGTTGCGCTGACGATGGGAGTGACTGACAAGAGCGTAGCTTGCGTGGGGCTGGGGCTAGTAGTGCTGTCGTACTGGCTGTGGAGATCTCCGTGGACGGTCGTGGGTTACATCGCCCTTGCTCTGGTTGTGCTGGTCTTGGGCGTTATGCTGTGGATTGTCTGGGTTCTGGTGTGTATAGAGGCTTTTTTTAAGCGGCCAACGGTAGTCGCCGCCCCCCTAAAGTCCCCCCCAGCTGAAACACCCAAGCACTCAAAGGCCAGCCTTGGGAGCCTACTGGGATGTATTGGAGGCGCATTGAAAGGGATTCAAAGCGTTGAGTCCTGGTGCCATAGAAGGCGAAAGCGATTAAAACAGCCAAGACCCCCCTCCATGCCCCCTGCTCTTTCGCAGCTGCCTCCAGTCGTCCAGTGTGTTGTTTGTTTAGAATTGGTGCCAATCGCAGACTGTGCGAGTTGCACAGGGTGCCCGATGGCTTGCTGCGGGATTTGTATGGAGAAATACCTCTGCCTTAAAGTCACAAGTGACCACCAAATGCACCTTGGGTGCCCCAGCTGTTCAGCTGCACTGGGTGCAGCTACACTGAAGCGATTTATGAGTCCGTACTTGCAACAAAAGTTGGTCGAATTGGAGCAGTCCCACCGCTCGTTCAAGTGCCCCAAGTGCCACAGCGACAAGAGTATCGTCATCCCTAGTGGGTACATTTCAAGGCGAAGTTTGACCTGCACCCAGTGCAAGTCTTGTTGGTGCATCGACTGCGGCCTGAAATACCACTACTTTGCCACGCAAGCATGTGGTTCATTCCGCAAGTGGCGGGCGAAACACCGCGTGAAGGCGTGCCCAAACTGCACGCGGTTCATCGAAAAGGTCGATGGGTGCAACCACATGACGTGCACCCAGTGCAAGTTCCAGTTTTGCTGGGTTTGCTCGACCAAGTGGACTCTCCTACACAAGTGCACGCCGCGCTGGTTTGCTGGCTAACAAGATCCAAGCCAATCCCTTAATACTAAGTCAGTACAGTACTACAAAACCCTGTATACTACGTATTAATAGTACTACGAAGTACAATGTACTCGGAGTGCTAAGCTTACGTACTAGTACAGTAGTACTTCTAGTACTGTACAGCACGTACAGTAGTGCTGTTAACGTGTACTAGTAGTAGTAACGTTAGTACTACGTAGTAGAATTTTTCAATTGTTTTGAATTTTGGTACAGTGTCGTGGGATTGAAAATGTTGGACAACTAGGTACTGTACTTGGTAGTGTACAAATCCATAGATAAAACAGCCTGATGCACATTACCATCACTCGTGGTCCCACCAACATTCCTTCCGTACACTTACTTCGCAGTACTATTTCATTTCCAAAGCCATTGATCAATAGGTACTGTAGCATGTCTGCAGCCATCATCACATCGAGCGCTTTATGGTACTATGAGACTATCACGTCTGGATGGCCTGTGTGGGTTATGCCAGGGGTATGCTCCATCTTGGTATGCTCTGCCGTTGTCCGCTGGACCAACGTTGGACGAGTAGTGTGAGTTCTGCTGATGGACCCGCTGTGGTTGGCCCTCGCATTCGTCATGTATATTGCAGATTTGCTGGTGGTTCTGCCTCTGGTGTGTCTTATTTGCATGACCGCTCGCCATATTGCTTCGCTCCAACCGACTCCCCCGACGCCTTTCACCCGCCAGCCGACCGCGACTGAATGCTCCATATGCCTCGATATGGTGTGTGATACCTACTGTATGGCGTGCCCAGCGTGTCCACAGGCGTGCTGCGTGTCTTGTTTAACGACGCACGTCCACAACAAAGTGGCCGACAAGTGCCGGTACCTGGGGTGCCCGAGCTGTGGGACTGCACTGGGTGCAGGAGTTCTGGGCCGAGTGATGACGGCTAGCGACCGCGTCAAACACGACCAGCTGGCCCATCAGAGTGTACAGCGCGCGTTCAAGTGCCCGAGATGCCACGCCAAGTGCGTCAAGACCACGGAGGACTACCTCGCGTGCACCGGGTGCAGGGCTACGTGGTGCTCGGATTGTGACGGAAGATCGCACTATTTTACGTTCATGTGCAAACAAAGGGCGTTTCGACGGTGGCGCGTCAAGCACGACGTCCGCCAGTGTCCTCAGTGCAGATGCTACATCGAAAAGGTCGATGGGTGCCACATGACGTGCACCCGGTGCAAGCTCCAGTTTTGCTGGACGTGCCACGAAGTGTATCCGTGTCGAAAGAGATGCGACGTGCCTTTGCTCGTACGTATAGTCCTGGCATGCTTGCAGTAGTTTTTTTAAAGACCAACGTAGTAATAACGTTATAAATAGATTTTCGTGGTAACATTGAATTTCACATCTTGAGTCCGTAATCAATGTGGTCGTTCTGTTGCTTTGTGCGTACATTTGGCTCGTGGTGGTGGCCCACCAAGCCAGCAAAATCGTCACGAACTGGTGGCCTATGGTTATATCCCGTCCCGATGCACTTCCAGCCACCACAACCTCCACACTATCGTCCAAAGTGTCGACCTTGTGCTTATCTATCGCTGGCTTTTTCGTCTTTGTGCCGTTCATGACGCTCTACCTGGCGGCGTGTCCTTGCATGTGCCTCGGTCACCTCTGCGCGATGTGCTTGGACCAACCTTCTCGCGACGTGCAAGGTACTGAACCAGCTGGTGCCATTCCAGCTGCATTGGGTACCTGCGCGACTTGTTCTACATCGACGCAAGAGGTCGGTACATCGACCTGTCCCCAGTGTGGGCGGACCACGTGTGGGTCTTGTATGGCGTCCTTCATTGCATTGGATGCCAAAGCCAGCCCTGTGCGATGTGTGGAATGCAGCGCACCTCTGTCACAGGCCACGCTCGTCCAGTTCTTGTCGCCTGATGCCTTGCGGCGGTATGCAGCGCTCACCGTTTGCATGGAACATGCAGTCGAGTAAAGCGATCTTTCGAAGTTTCACCCACACGCAAAAAAGAATACCTTCAACCAAGAACGAGGACATTTCGTCCGTGTGAAATCAAACGCGCAGTGGAATGTAGGTCTTTACCCGCTCGTAGTGTTGGTTGTCCATTGCAACCGCCGATGATCCGCTTGGCTGCAGGGTGTGTGGTGGTGGTGGCCGTGGCGGTGGTTGGCGTTAGTCTGGCGTCGTACATAGGGTACTACTGCCTCCATATCCTCCTCTACGCCGTCCAAGTGCTCTCCGCGACTCTGACCATCGTTTCCATTGACGAGATTCACACGACCCAACCTCCTCTCCCTCCATCTCCCGACCCAAAGCACCCCGTGGGTGCCAGTATGCAGTTCCTCAGATGGCTCATGCGCTTGGTGGCTTACGTTCCGTCGCTGACGATGTCCGTGTTGTGGCGTGTGCTTCACATGTCCCCGTTCGTGAGCAGCCACCAAACCACCACCACCCAAACAAACTCTATCCCCCCCACTGATGCCGTTCATCTCCTTCCGCCACTGAAGTGCATGGACTGCTCGACACCGACCGACCAAAGCATCCACTGCGCAAAGTGCCAGTACGTTGCGTGCGTTCCATGCTTTGTCGGGCACGCCGTCGAGTGCATCAGCAACGGCCAAGTCGGGTTTGTGTGTGTGCGGTGCTACCAAGAGGTCGACGCAAGTGTCCTGGACGCGCATCTCCCGCCACCCATTCTGGCCAAAATGGAGCGCTTTAAGCTCCTCGAGACACTCACAACATGCCCGTCTTGCCGCGGCCGACTGCGGCAGTCGGGGCTGTCGCGGCGACGGATGGTCTGCGGACGATGTGGCGACGCCTGGTGCTTTGAATGCAAACGCGCGTTCCATCTGCGGTGGACATGCAAACCAATAAATTAATCTGCGATAACGTTTAACGATTCGAACACTGGGTTTAGTTCTATCGTCGCTTGAGCGAGACTGAACGTTGGGCGTCGTCGTGCAATGCTGGTGACGACTGGTGGGGAAGGCAGGGTCATAATGATATCATGGAGCGTGGAATTGGCCAGCATCAATAATGTGGGCATCGTAGTAACGTTAGTAGAGGTGGGTGTAGGTGCAGGTGTCGAGGTTCGTGTCACAACTGGGAGCGACGTCTCATAGATGGTTGGACTAGGTGCAGCATCTATCGTGGTCGTAGGTGCAAGTGTACGATCGGGTGCAGGTGAGGAAGGTGTCGTGCAAGGTGTCAATGTTGCCGGGGTAGCGTGAAGTACATTGACGGGGCTGTTGGCGCATATTGTATACAGCGCTGCCCTTGTCAGCGTATCTGGATAAGAAACCACATCCCAAGATATGAACAACGTAGTACGACGAGAGGAGATGACGAATGGTCACACATGTCAAGTGTCCATCGTCGAATAAAACGCGTTCCGAACACCACCATAGTGAGATCGCAAGTTTGGCAGCGTGTTTTGTCAATATATGCGCGTGTTCTGGCGACTCCACAAAAAAGATATTGCTGACAAGAAAGTATGCAGACGACTGAGCGGCGGCTGTCGTCGAGTGCGTCGGTGTCGTCCGTGCGCCGACGGACGGGATCGATAAGTCCGAAGAAGGTGTCCTTGGTGGTGAAGCCAGTGGCCGTGTACTGCTGGGGATGGGGCGGCAACGGCCAACTGGGCACGAACGACCGCGAGAGCCGCATCACGCCTTACCTCGTCCACGCATTGTTGGAGAAGACATCGATCTCCAAGGTGGCTTGCGGCAGTCGGTTCACATGTACAACCGACTTCATCTTGCTGCAGTGCAACGACGCGAGAATCTCACGTGAATACGTAGTGGCGTTGACGGCGTCGGGGTCGGTGTTTGCGTGGGGAAAGAACGACTATGGCCAACTCGGCATCGGTCACCACCTCCAAGCTCAGGTATACACACATCCATCGCATTCCCATGATCCTTCCTAAGTTACAAGTCGTCGTAGCTGGAACCCCGGTTGATCGACTCGTTGAGCGACATTGCGATCACCACCATCGCGACGCGGGGTTCGCACGTCCTGGCGATCTCCGAGGACGGCGCGGTCTTCTCATGGGGCCGCGGGGACGAAGGGCAACTAGGTCACAACTCGCGGGAAACGCTGCATCTGCCCAAACGCATCGCGAAGCTGCATCACATCGTAGACGTCGCGTGCGGCCGCGCGCACTCTGCCGCGCTTGGACACAACGGTAGTACTCGGAATACATGCACAATCATCGTCATTCTTCCATTAGGCGCGGTGTACACGTGGGGAAGCGGAGAAGACGGTGCGCTAGGTCTGGACGACGTCGAGTCCGCTCTCATACCCACGGCACTGCTTCTTCCTTCGTCCGTCCAGGCCATTGCTTGCGGATCGCGCCATACGCTGGCCATAACATCAGAGTTTACCGTACTGAGCTGGGGATGGAACATGTATGGCCAATTGGGCTTGGGACATCTGGACACTGTGAGAATTCCCACCGAGATCCCATCCTTTCTCGGCCACAAAGTCGTGCAGATTGTATGCGGGTACGTCAGAAGTGGTGGATTTCAAGGTCGAGTGTCACCCCGTGGGTAGATTCCGGCACAATTTCGCAGTGGTGCCGCACTCGGGGATGACAGTCGACGTGTTTGGGTGGGGCTGGAACGAGCACGGCCAACTCGGCGACATCGAGTTGGGCTTGGACCTTGCAGTCGTCCATCGTCCCCAGCGCCTTCGTTCTTTGGTAGTATCCAAAATTCGATCATAAAGTCACGTTATATTCTTCTAATTTCACGTTTATCCATCTAATTTTACGTTATATTCACCTAATTACACGTTATACTCACGTAATTACACGTTATATTAACCTAATTACACGTTATATTTACGTAATTGCACGTTATATTATCGAGATTTCCCGTGTTTTCTACATTTTTTCGTGTCATGATGTTCCTTGGGTCATCATGCAGATGGACGTGTCGTTGACGTCGTTGGCGGCGGGAGGGCGGCACTCCCTGTGCAGCGTCCATCCGCACGGGAGTTTTGCGTGGGGTCGCGGCACGGACGGCGAGGTGGGCACGGGCGTCATCACGTCCAGCCAGCGGACGCTGACGTGCATCTTGCACCACCGCGTGGTGTTCCAAGTGGCGTGTGGGTGGGCGCACTCGGTGGGCCTGGTGCAGGAAGACGTGTGTGCGTCGACGTTGTCCACCTCTGTGACATCGTTCAAGTGGATGACGTCAGGGGACTGGGACGCGTTCTCCGGCATGTTCGTGCAGACCATCCTCCAGCTCATGATCGTGTCGAGTCTACTGCCGACGCAGGTCCATCTTCCCCTGAAAGACCTCCACGAAACCATCCTTCCCGCGGCCGTCGCCACGACCGTCGTGGGCAATCTCTTCTTCGCGCTCCAAGGCGTCCGCCTTTCTCGACACGATCGCAGGCATGACGTCACCGCCCTTCCCCACGGCATCAACACCGTGTTAGTGTTTGCATATGCACTGAGCATCATGGAGCCAGAGTTCCAGCGCACCCAGAGCTTTACGGCGGCGTACGAAGTGGGCATCTTCGCGGCGATCGCGACGGGAGTGCTGCAGATGCTGCTTCTGCCCTTGCTGAGTCTGCTTCAAGCGGCGATTCCCAAGGCGGCGCTGCTGGCGTCCGTGTCTGGCATCGCTCTGACCTTTCTCAGCATGGGCTTTGCGTTTGAAATATGGGAAAATCCACTCGTGGCCCTCGGTCCCCTCTTGTTATTTGTAACTATGATATATAATATATATATTAATAAATCTAATAAGGGTGAATAGCTCGTATCGTATGGCGCCGGCGTTAAACTACCGCTCCATGTCCCCACCGGCCTCGGCGCGTTGTTGCTTGGCACGAGCTTGGCGCTTGGGTTGTACTACACCGGCACCCCCACCACGGTACACAGGAATTAACGAAATGAGCCTGATTTAACCATGCAAAAGGGTCTGAATTAACGAAATGAGCCTGATTTAACCATGCAAAAGGGTCTGAATTAACGAAATGAGGCTAAATTAACGGTAGTTTGTCCCGTTTTCGGAACCGTATGCGTTCACGGTGCAAATGGTAAACGTGGACGTTGGGTTGGTGTATCGGGCGTTGACGAGGTATGGGATTGGATGACGTAATCATCCTTTTGTGATGACGTAATCATCCTTTTGTGATGACGTGATCAGTGGCGCCGGGTGGAAGTACATGAGCATCATTGTGCCCATGGTCTTGGTCAACGTGATGGGGGCGATTGCCAACTTGGAGACGGCGGCGGCGGTCGGCGACAAGTACGACCCCCTCGCGTGCGTGTTTGGAGGTATGACGTGATCAACCTATGATGACGTGATCAACCATATGATGACGTAATCAACCACATGATGACGTGATCAACCATATGATGACGTATCCCTGTAGATTCGATCGTGACGATCTTGGGGGCGTGCCTTGGGAACCCCTTCCCCACGGGCATTTACATTGGCCATGTACTACTACTGTCTATGAATAGTAGTACTAAACTGACCCTACTACGTACTACTACGTACTATCTATATAGCCCATCTACAAAGCCATGGGCGCTCGCGTGGGGTACTTGGTCCTTAACGCCGTGTGCATTTCGCTCCTCGCCCTTGTCAACGGTACATACGCTCCCTCGACTTAACGACCTTGTGACACTTTTATATAGCGGTGCCATGGCTGCTTGGGACAATTCCCATTGCATCGGGAGTGGGCTTCCTCCTCTGGATTGGGATGGTGATCACGTCCTCGAGCTTTGAGCGCAAGGCACACGACTCGAACCACGGGACGGCGGTCGTGTTGGGAATGATCCCAGCGCTGGCGGCATGGGCGTTTCAGTTGGTGCAAACCACGCTCCACGCCGTGAATACAAACTCCAACATGACGGCGGCGCTCGACAGCCTCGCGGCCGCGGGGTTAAATCCCCAGGGAATGATCGCGCTTTCCCAGGGATATCTTCTCACAGCGATCGTGCTCGCGTCCACGATGGTGCACATCATCGAGCGCGACTTTATCTACGCCGCGGCGTGGATGGCCGTGGCGTCCATGTTAAGCGCCACGGGAATCATCCACGCGTATCGCGTTGTGGGGAACGCGATCGAGCCAGCATTGGGATTTTTCCCCACACAAGTGTCTCACCAGTTTGCGATCGTGTATGCTGGGATGGCGCTGATGCTGGGTGCGTTCCACTTGGGCGAGGAAGAGTACAAGTACACGTGGAGCCATGTGCTCAAGATGGTCACGTGGAGCAAGCAGTGGCTGCCACGTCATGCACCCGCGGCGGCGTCCATCGACGAACACACGCCGCTGCTCCTGCGCTCGCAAAGCACCCTCCTTGAAATGGAAAAGTAGCTTGGAGGGATTAACTAAAAAGGACTAGTTCAACGCGCACGATTAATAGTAGTAGTAGTAGTAGGTATTTGTATCAAAATACCTACTTTTGCCCAAAATGTGGCTGACTTTTGTGCTGATTCTTTGCCAAATCTATCATTCTTTGTATCGTCGAGGATCACACTAATTTCAGTCACACACTAATTCGATGTTGATTTGGTCGACGAGGGAATTTGATTGATTTGATTGGCCACTTGATTAGTGCTCTGGGTTTTGATTGGTCGATCGATTGTCTGCCGATTTGGTGCTGCTCATTCGATTGAGCACCCCAATTTCGAATCGACTTGACAATAGTATTCATTATGAACGTCCAAAATTCGCATGGTTTGTCGAACATTATTGAATCACGCTGGAAGTTCTGATTGGTTGAATATACTTGTCCTAAGAGCCAATCAAATCTCCGCTCACAGGAAGGTACATGTTAACAACCAAACACAGAGCTTTCACTTCATAAGCGAATTATCACATTTCAAGATGTACTTCTAATTCAAAACTCCGACTTTCCAAGCAAGTTTACTCTATTTTTAAGGACCAATTGATGATCACTTTTTTAACCTTGAACTGTGTATGGCTTGATGCATACAAATTATGCGAATAGGGTATTCATTATGGCCAGGTAAAGTATAAGGGTGCGTCTGGTAACCACCGGAAATATTGCAATATTCAGCCCCAAAACCCAATTTTGGGGCCGAATTCAACAAATGTGATTAATATTGAATCATGTCTTGTTCGAAGAGTTTTACTGTTAATCAACCCAAATCCAGTAATTCCACGTGGGATTTACTCGTTGAAGAGGTTCAAAACGCCATATTACAAGATAGACCTTTTACCTCCATTTTAAAAATGGCATTTCGGTTAATCCCATTTTGCGAGAAAATAGAATATTATTTTGAAATGTTACCAGACGCACCCTAAGTTTACAAGATTACCGTACCGTACACAATAACTACCCTGGTATTTTTCGTCCAGGGTAGCAAAACTTACAGTTAAGCCGAATGAGTTCGTATGGATGGGTAGTTATTTCGACCGCCATAGTATCGAGGGTACCTTATTTAAGACCGAAATTTAATACTATATTTTGTATACCCATACAATTTTATAGTTATATTGAAAATCATATGTTCATACTTTGTTTTTAAATATTTTGATAAGAATGGAAGGTAGCAATCATTAACTTGTCGTGGCACATCGTCGGTAACCCCGAACGGCATTAAACAAGCAACTCCTTTATTGTAAAGTTAGCCGAGCTGACGCACTCAACATAGTCGAATAAATAGTGTTCTCTTGCAATAACGACAGGTGTGCATCAAAGGCAGAAGTCGATCCACACATAGGATGCTGACCGCAGGTTTCGAACGCCCTCGCAATCCACTTATCCTTGATGACAGCAACACAGACTATCCCACCGAATCTTGCAATTTGCGTAAACGCCCACGCGTAGTGGTTCGCGAAGACTTGGTACTCCTTAACGCTGATCTGCTTGACGACTTTGTGCTTGAGGAACAAGACGAAGACTGGATGTAACTACTACAGTAGTTAATCATTCATTTTTCCTTTTGAGTTGATATAGTAAGCTTAGTATATTTGTTTGCACATTCAGCATTATTGTACTGAATTCACAAAGGTAGATATTTCGCCAATTCTCGCAGGGTAGAAAAATTAAGCACCCAGGGGAGATATTAAACTCGGATAGTTATTGTGTACGGTACGGTATGTATTTCAAGAATATTTGGTGGTTTCAACACATGGTCCGGATAACCTGTTCCAATCGTTTCATCCATGTATGGAGTACCCGTACCTTTCGATTCAATGTTGGAGTGGTACAGCCAGGAGTACCACTGAAAAATTTGATATTCATTGCCTCTAGACATAAATATCCTTTCAGAAGTAATGCCTCTCTACGACGCGATAACTGATGAGCAAACTTGAAGCGACTTCCTGCAGATTTCAGCATGCAAACTTGAGCTTGTAAACTGACATTGACACCTCCATTCACTTTCCATTATGCCGTGACCGTCCCATCGCAAGCCCTAGAAATGTACTTGTATGATTTCAATTTGAGTTTGATTGCCACGAAGAACTCCCATAAAATTATATTCCTCCAACATCACATAGAAATATTAATTTTGAATAGACTAGAAACAGACTCCAACATTGAATCGAAAGACTTTACAGTGTTAAGGAAAGTGGAATGGAATCCGTCATTGAAGCAGGGATTGCACGTGTCGGAGGATCTTGACGCGGTGGAGTCGGATGGCCACGCCCACTTCGATGAGGTCATCGTCGGTGCTCACTGCGAGGAGGCCTCCGTCGATGCCCATGCTCCGCAGCTTCTCGGCGGCAGACTCGAGGCCGAGCGCTTTGATGAGGTCGTACACGTCTGCCTCGGTCATGCTGGAGAGTTGTTGCTTGGAAGAAGGTTGCAGGGACGCCAGCCGCTTGTCCCGCGCCAAGCGATCCGCTTCCACTGCGTCCTGCAGATCCTTGTCAATCAAAGCAGGTGCTTTGGGTTTCATCTTGGCCGTGTGCATCTTGAACGCTGCTTCCTGCCGCATGAGCTCGTTCCGCCGCTTAAACATGTCACCCATGAGTCCCTTGAGCTCGTTGTTCCATGCACCGTACTTGGTCTGTAGCGCCCTTGCCTTGCTCGGCGCCATCGTCGATGCATTATCCATCTTGTTCTGGACGATCTGCATCTGTTCCACGAGTTCCTTCCGTCGCCCTTCCATCGTCACGAGCACTTGCCGTGCATGGTCGAGATGGCGCTGCATGGTCGCGGATGTAGTGTCCAGAGTGCTCTCATCCCTGGTAACCGGTTTCTTCACTGATGTCGCCGCCAAAGGCGCGGCGGACGACGGCCGATCAACCACATGCACGTGCTGAAGCTCGGCAAAGAGCGATTGCATCGCAGCACAGAGGCGTTCTACCTCCACACCTGCACCTTTCCCCTGCTCGTCGTCCATCTTCTTCTCTGCCCGTCGAAGTCCTTCGAGGAGCGCCACGTCGTCTTCATGCAGCAGCGGGTCCGTCAGCGAGATCGGCGCCAGGAGCGGGTTGTTTGCTAATGGGACTGAAATGTCTTTCCACATTTCCCGCGCCTTTGAAATCCGGTTAAGTGCGATATTATGCTTTCCATATTCTCACCGTCATGAAGAAGGCCGTGTCCGTGCACATCTTGCGAAGGTAGTTGGTCTGTTTCCAGAGGAACACCGCGTCGGGGGTGCCGATGCCGACCTGCCACTTGCGGATCCCTTCCACGGCCGCGACGCTGGCCTTGCGGTACTGGCGCGTGAGGTTCTGGACGAGCTTCCACGGCCGGGCCTTCTTGGTCTGGATCGACGCAAACTCGTCCGCGAGCTGCTCCAGTGCTTCCAAGCATGCTTCTCGCTCGATGATCATGCGGATGGCGTGCATCTCCAAGGCTGTGTGTCGAGCGTCTGACGATCCATGGCTCGCATACACCATCACCGACTCCGCCATTCCCGTTAAGATGCTGATCGGACCATCCACGACATGTATATAAATAGACTACGACCGTCTCAATAATATTAATATCACATCCATCGCTCAGAGCCAACTGTCGTCATTCGATGAACGAGCGGCGGGAGCTTTCTCCGTCTTGGCTTGCTGGAGCTTGAGGAGGATGTCCCTTCGCTGCTTGAGGATCTGGGTGAGGTCGACGTCGGACTCCCTCCCGCCGTCCGAGAGCGTGGACAGGCGCAGGTTCCGCTGGCTGTAGCTGGCATTCGTTCGGCCGACGCCGATCATGGCTTCGGGTGCGATGGAGATGTTGGGGTTGGTCGGCAACTGCAGTTGCCACACGTTCAAGGTCGATATTCGCTTGTACTCCTTGATCGCCTTGACTTCGCCCGCTTCGGTGAACTCGTGCTGCTTCTGGCAGTTGATGCAGAACCCCACCTTGAACGGGTTCGCTTGGTAGTCCATGCATACTTCGTCGTCGTCCTCGGAAGGTTCGCCCCATCGCGCGTGGATAATCCCCGGCGAGTCGAAATCGTGGCCAAGGATCAAATCGATGTCGATGCTGATCTATAGATACATGACGACATGCAACGTGAGAAGAATGGTCGTACTTCGTCCGTGTCGCTGCGATAGTATTCAGTGTCGGGAGTCCGCGGAGCACCCTTTCTCCGGTCCAGCTCGTGCGGTGAGTCTTCCGCGATGGGAATGTCCGACTCTTGTCGTGGCATGAAGTTCAAGGAGAAGCGATGCGCTTTCTGCCGCATGCTGCTGCTGCTTCGTTCAAAGAAAGAATTGGACTTGCGTCTCTGGAACGACTCGGCCAGCTTGGACCGTCGTCGCTGTGGTTGATGTGATTGATCGGGAGCTGCGGCGCGCATCTACACATATCTCATCATTACCTCCAACGTCAAGGTTCTATGTTCGTACCGGTCTGGTGTCGGGACGCGCGACCCGTGCTTCCACCGCCTCCAAGTCTCGACCAGAGCAGTTCCCCATGAACCGAGGCAGAGTTATCAAAATGAACCCAGACTTATCCTTTACTTGGACGTACTGTACATGTTTCAAATTATTTAAAATAGATGCCCTCATATTTAAATATATGAATGTTTGTATACCAGTGCAACGCGACCATGGACACAATGACTGCCAGCTGGCAATTTTAATAAAATGCAATTTTTATACAGTCCGACAGTATTGAAATAAAAAAAAGTAGTTTTCTTTTCCACTGCACTGTATATGTGAACTCAAATTCCAACTTTTTTAATAGCGACGGCGTCGCCATAATGGATATATTTTATATTCTTTTTAGCCAATCAAAATGGATACGCTCTACAGTACCATCAAAAGTGTGTGTCAGGAAGAGAAAAGACATGCGGCACATGTGGGACGACGCAATGTGATGGCTGCGTGACTGTGCTCAAGAACCACCAGTGTCATGCCCACATGTCACGAACGAGATGGAAAGGATCTGTAACCGCTTCTTCATGATCGACCGGATGAGTTGACCGGACACGCACGCGCAAACGTCGCTGTGTAACCGATGAAGCGGCTGAGCAAGGCGGTGCAGGACCGCGTGGGTCGCAAGGGACCTCCTCTTCTCCAAGACGAGCATGTGCCAACTTCCAACGACAAGAGTGCGCATAGTAGTGTGCACGATCTCGAGCAAGGTTCACCCCGTCGTCATCTGTCGATAACATGTGGCGTTCTAGTGGAGCTGCAACTCGTCCAAGTGCTCAAGCAAAACGGCGTGGGTGAAATCTGCCGCACCATCAAAGCCGAGATCGACACGATCTGGGCCGTCCAGTCGGCGTTCAAGACCCTCGCCAGCGTCGGCCACTTTTACTTTTCCTGCGGCGAGACCGTGTTCTCGGTAAATGCGTCCCCTCCCTTCCTTCTCCACCATGGAACTAACTATTATCCTGCAGGTGAATCCCGCCGACGGTTTCTACGACAGCGACGGGCTCTTGCTGGCTCTGTTCGCGCTCAAGAAGTTTCCCCATCACCGAGAAGTGCTGTTTCCCATCTTGGACACGATTTCCATCTACGCGAAACTGGACGGTACAGTGTACCACATGTCCAGTTGACGTCCTTCCACTATATATATATATATATATATATGCATAGTCGAACGAGCGTTAACGTTTTGCGCTATCGATGGCGGCGTGGACTTGATCATGAACTGCGTCCGCAACCACTACGACAAGCCCAACTTGATCTGCATGGCCCACGATGCCCTCGGCAGTCTTATTCTCAACGGTATATTTTAAAACCCCGAAACCCCGAAACCTCTAACCCAGGCTGTTTATAGACGACATTCGACAGCACATTGCGTCGACGGGGTTAATGCACGAACTGGTGACGTTACTTGATCGGTTCAAGTCCAACGTGGATGTGTCTCGGGCGTTGCTGTACCCACTCAGTCACTTGGTCGTGCTACGTACGTAACATTTACCCTATATTTGGACGACTTTTGGGCTGATTTATATCGATCGATTCTTCTTTATATGGACTTTGTAAAATTGGTCACACTAATTATTTCATTCACACACTAATTCGATGTTGCAATATTGGTTTGATTGGATTGGGTACTTGATGCTGGGTTTTGATTGGTCGATAGATACATTCCCACACTAATTCGATGTTGCAATATTGGTTTGAAGAGTGGATGATTTGATTGGGTACTTGATGAGTATTCTGGGTTTTGATTGGTCGATAGATATATCGATTGTGTGTCGATTTGGTTGTTCTTCTGGTCATATTTGATAGAGCACCCAAACACTCGAACTTGGCAATATTAGGCGAGATGGCCCATACATTTGTCGACTTGAATGGGATTCCCACGGCATTGCACTGCTTGAAGCAGCACAAACACGACCAGCAAGCCGCGTGGTACGCCCTGGCCCTACTCAACGCCCTTACGACCAGTGACTCGTACCATATCCAGCTTATTGGGACCGTCTTTTCCCACAAAGGGGTGCCGTTGATTGCTCGGGCTATTGCCATGCACGTCCAAGTAGAGGAAATCGCATTGGAAGGGTTTCAGCTCCTTGAACGCATCGCAACAGTGTCACAGTTCTTTGCCGTGATCAACCGCAACCACGTACTTGAGTTGGCATATCATGCCTTGTCGTTGTACAAAGGTATAAATTTCGATATTGGAGCAATCGACTTGAATCGCAATATTTAATACTGTCAACTGTATACTATACAAATATTGCATATGAAACGAGGTTTGACTGGGACAAATGGGCCAAACATCCCTGATACCTACCATTGGTTGGGATCTAGGATTGAAGAAATTTCATTGGCTAGTCGATTGTCTGCGTTTTGGCTGCCACTGGACTACCCAGAATGGAATGCATCATATTATTGTGCTTTCAACTTCGTGTTGTGGTTTCTCTTTGGAATTTAAATCGATTTGACTGGCTACTTCAGTTGAGCTCAAAATTATTAACCAATCAAAACCTTCTCAATGAAATTCAACCAATCAGATCGATTGCGGATCGGTTTGGTTGGCGCGATTCGATTGCACCCCCTCCCCAAATTTGTATCAAATCGACAATATATTGTCCTTTTTTTAACCCAAAATTTGGACTTGAGAGTCGTTTCGCCAAATAGCTTTCGAATCTATTTGATCCTATTTAATCTTGTACACACTATACTACTATAAACGATTAGTATAAATATATATATGGATTTGCCCAATACGGAGGGGTCAAACGTTTGGATTGGCAGAAATAGATTCGACATGACGTGATTTCATTGGCTCAAGTGGTTCGTAAATCGATTCTCCAAAGACATTCTGCTGAGGACTCCAGTTTCGAATCGATTTAACAATATATATATATATTATATATAGGATTGGCTGCGTTTTCTCGCCAAAATATGATACTTTATTTTGGATGGGCTATCCTTTTTAGTCTATCTGGTGGACATTCGAGAGGTTTGATTGGTTATATATTTGATTTCGTGCTGTGGGTTTGGATAGGTCGATATATATCGATTGTATGGACAATATATATATATCTGTGGCAAATGCGCCACTAATAGATATATATATATCGGGTATAGGACCGCAATACACCCACACAAGGTTGGAAATCAAGAAACGGGTACTGACGTTTCAAACGTGTGCGATTCAGGACGGCCACGCGTATGCCATGCAAGAGCGATTAACAAAAGGCGACTGTATTCTGTACTCCATCTTCGTCGCGCTCACGGCGGTCGCGGCCGCCTTGTCCCCGTACGACCACTGCACGCACCATATGACGCAGGCCCTCACCGCGTCTTTGCGCCTTCCGGATACGTTTCCGGACACGGCCCACGTCTGGATGTACCTCGAATCGGCGTTCGTGTCGAGCTTGTTTCGTCCAGTTACGCCCGATTCTATGGCCACCCCCGCCATGATGGATGGGTCCAACGTCCTTCTCGGCAACGTTCTACTGCACCAGCGTCGACTCAGCGGTAATATTGGCGTTTTACCCAATATTTGGACTTTTGTGCTGAATGATTCGCCAAATCGATCGATTCTTGTTTGTAACCATCGTCCAGTAGTATCACACTAATTTCATTTCACACACTAATTTGATGTTGAAAGAGTGGATAATTTGATTGGCTATTTTTGAGTGTTCTGGGCTTTGATTGGTCGTCGATATATCGAATATTGTCTGCCTTCGATTTGGTCAGGCTGCTCATTCGATTGACCACCCAAACTCTCCAATTTCGAATCGACTTGACAATATATTATGTTGGACTGAATAATTATGTAAATATATATATGTAGTATTCGCCTCGCTGTATGTGAAAGTAATATTTGATTGGTCACTTGAAAGTGTAGTAATTTGTGGCTTTTGTGATTGGTCTATCGATTAGGTTCGGCTCATTCTATATGGTGAAAGTAGTGGTGGATTTGACAGAAGACAAGACCACGTCCGATATATTTGGCGTGTATATGGAAGAACGAGGATATCAAGCGACTCTGCCACCAGTTCAAGCTGCTCCAGGACTATGCCACTCTGCTAAATGTGTATTGGCCCAGCTCCGCCACTCGAAATGGCTAGACCTGTATACCCGGTCTGTGGTTATCGAATGGAATGTATACAATGCAGCCCTGGACATCCATATTGCAATGACGTTATCACTGGACTTTGCAGTCGGAGCGGCGATTCAAACGGATCTTCGAGCCACGCCCGCCTACTTTAACGTGTACCGCGGTGTGTTCTTAACGTCCGCTTTGTTTTACGTGGACATGGGTCTTGTCTTCTTTACCTTGTACAGCGTATGGCGTGCGGGAGGCAAACTCCACCGGTACGTGGTGGTGTTATTGAGACATTCAAAACAGACGTTATCGGTGTGTAGGTACCGCCAGTACTATTTCTTTGTTGGCGCCCATGTCATGGACGGTTTGATCGTTGTGCTATGGCTGGGTATCTGGTGCACTCGGCTGCATTATGTCACCACGGCGTCGTACTCGCTCATGGTTCAACTCGCCGGTCCGACTTATGTGTCGTTACGAGGTACTACTTACTACCTAGTAGTACTCAATCCCCGAAAGTACACCATTCAACAGTACTCAATTCAACAGTACTCAATTCAACACTACTCGATTCGAAAGTACTGAATTCAACAGTACTCAATTTAAAGTACTCAATCCGAAAGTACTCAATCCAAAAGTACTGACTGTGGTTCATCCAACAACAGATGTGACGAGTCTCGCCCAACAAGACCGCGTTCTGTTTGCATTCGTGTCCCTTGTGATGTGGCTCAACTGGACTCGGTACTTGTCCTCGCACCACCTTCGGTACCTCCTTTGTGTGCTCGAGGTACCTACTTGCCAAAACTAGTAGTACTACATAGTCATCTAAGCTCGTGCACTGCAGGCCACTTGGGGGTACATCGTCGGGTACATCCTCTTGATCGTTGTGTTGGTGATGGGAGTGACTCAGTACCTAATGCTGGCCTTTCCATGGAGTACCCAATCCACGTTTTTCGATCACTTTACCAAGGCTGTGAACGCCATGAGTACCCACGGGATGCCTCGTCCCGCGGAATCCACATGGTCCGGCTACGTGCTCTTCTTGGGATTCAACGTCCTCTTGCCGCTCTACTTGTTTGTACGTGTCCGACGTCCTTCGCTGTGATGTCATGGACGATGTAGTTCGCTCTTGCGCCGATGCTTCGCCTTGGCTTCAACCTGTGCCATCGCGAACCTCGTCCGAAGCGCGCCCCTGCGAAGCTTCCCTCGTCCCTTAAAGGACACAAGAAACCTCATCACCCGAACATGAAGATCGTGTTCGAAACCGCCAAGTTGGCCCTCAAGGGCATGCTGGAAGACCGGCAGTCTACCATTCGCAAACACTCGTTCAGTCCGTGGGAAAAGTCGGATGCGAGCCTCCTTGACGACATCACGGAAGCCAACTACGTCAGCCCGAGCGCTCCGTCCATCCTCCAGGAGCTCCAGCGAGGGGTGGTGCACTTGGCAGTGGAGGAGCAGCACCTCGACATGCTCGCCACGACGCTGTTCAACCGACTGCAGCAGTTGCATCTCCTCCTGTGCTCCAACTTCTCGCGCTCCATCAAGACACCTTTGCCCACTCCCGTATCCCTAGACAAGTCACGAAGGATGTCCAACCTGTCTTATGTGCAGCGCCGAGGGCAGTCCTCATGCACCAGCGACGGCAACGACGGCGGCCTCGACGACGTGCCCAATGTCGAAACTTGATCGTTCTCTTTTTATACAAACAGTAAGCTGAAATGTTGAGTAAAGTATGATGCGTTTAAACGTTTCTGGCCGTAACCAAAATGAAGTTTAAACACCATAAAGGCGTCGCGATATTGCGGCAAATTGTGTTTAAACAAAGATACGATAGAATCACATTATGTTAAATCAGTACGTTGAAGTGATATCGATGAAACAAGGACAGCAAACCCCAATGTTTTGTACGATTTAAGGCAATTTGAGGGACCACTATAGTGGCGCGTCATTTCATGGCATTCATAACGTATATCCATCGGACTGACATTATCCAATGATGGCCAGCCTGCCGCCGCTGGTGCCGCCGCCGCGGAAGCGCCATTACACAGAGATGCGCCAGCCTCCGTCCAGCATGCACGAGATCGCGTCCGTGTTCATGGCGGCGAAGCTAGAGCGGTCGAACGTCGTCGTCATGCCGGGAGATCGGGCGTCCGTCGAGTCCAAGCTCATGGCGGTGCTCATCGCCATGAAGCCCAATACCCCCATGCACAAGCGACTCCAACTCCCGTCCCTTGTCAAGAAACTGGAGCGCATGCTGCTCCGTGTGGCCAGCTCCAAAGAAGATTACATGGACCCGGCCACGATGCTGCCAAGGCTGCAAGCGGTGCACAGCTTTCGACAAGCCAAGAGACAGCGCACTGTGTATTAACGTACTATTTATACAAGTCCGCTCCAATCCAAACTTTAGGCTTTGCTTGGTATTTTCATGATTATTGTCTGCTACTTCGAGCCAACCAATCGAACTGAGACGAATATACTCAATAGAGAGATTTTGCAAACCATCCCTTCACTATCCCTGGTCCCTACACCCGAAGTAATCGTCATGGCCACCGCATCGAAACGGCGCTTCACCGAAGAAGAAGATGTCATGCTTCTTCGGGAAGTCAACGCTCGCATGCCATTTCGTGTCCGGCGTGGTGCTGTGATGGACGCATGGGCTGAAGTTGCTGCTGCACTGTTGTCCCACGAAGACTTCGACCGCCCTGGCTTTGACGCGAAACGGGCACACAATCGTTTCACTCTGCTCCTCGAAGGCCACCGCGGTGACAACCGCGAATCCATGCGAGCTTCTGGGGTTGACGAAGAGTACAGCGAGAAGATGCAGCTGTTGGACGAGCTGTTGTCGGCGTACGACGACAACAAGGCTGCAGAGCGTGGTCGTCTTGAAGAGGCGCAGCGAGAGGCCGACCGCATCGAATCTCTCGGCTAGACGGTTCGTGAGGAAGCACTGCAGTCACTGGGCAAAAGAAAATTAGCTCAAGACGGCGAAGGAAGCAGTGGCGGTGGGGGCGGCAAGTTGTTCAAGATTATGTCGATGATACAGGACGACAACAAGGCTGAGCTCGAATTTCGCAAATTGCAGTACGAAAAAGATCTGGAAGAGCGCCAAAAAGATCGCGATGTCTTTATTGAACAGTCACGCATGCAACATGAAGCAATGATGAGTATTCTAGCTGCTTTAAACAAAACAAAATAGTGACATTTATCTTTTTCTTGTTTTACACTAACGCAACTTCTAGCGTGTCTAAGTACTCTTCTAATGATGGTGGTTGCATGTCAAAGTAGTTAGAAATTTGATTTCCACCAAAATGACAGCAATGACAATTCGTCAGCAACATTGCAACACAAACAACCTTTGCCACAGGTGAAAGTCG